TTCAACATAAGCCGGTCCTCAGGTCCCTGAGCTCTGTCCTGAGGATGCAGGACATGGCATAGCTGCAGATGGCAGACATTTTCTCATGCCAATAAAATCCCATTCCACAGTGGAGTAGGGATGGGTGGTTCTAAAAGTGGTATGCCAGAGGAGAGCCCATCCCTGGTGCCCAAGAATTGGGACAGGGATTTAAAGCCCCTAACTCCAAATCAGGGTCAGGCCCAGTAAGTCATTGGAATGGGAACTAAATGCTAGAGTCCCCAGCAGAAGTCGAGCCAGGAGCCTGGACTCTGCAGAAGAAAACTTCACTAGAGCTCTCACACCCAGAAAGACAGGAGCTGCACATATTCCCTTTGGTCCAGACTTTCACTGGTTTAGGGATTAGGTAGTTCTGAACCCGCAGTTGGGAACTGTAGTTTTAGGGCCCACAGCTGTGAAAAATGGCACTGGCCCTAATTAGTAACATCTGCAGATGGATCAGTGTGCTTGTTTTGCCACCAGTTGTAACACATCCCCAACATTCAGCAACTACAAATATCTTCAGAAGGCAGTCTATGTATAGTAGAAAGCAGTAAGTCAGTGAGCAGGTAATTCACCACCACAAAGAACCAATCTGTAGGGAAACCAGAAGGAAAGGCATTGCAGAAGGCAAATTTGAGATACCCTCTTAAGACACTGGCTCACACAAATGAATACCAGGTCTACTCACCAACTGTACACTCAATGTCTACCTTTGTAAGTGTTTCACAAAAGTAAAGAGGACATTTAGATTCCAAATCTAACCCACAGGCATGCAGCAGTGCCTAAAGGCAGTATTTGGTCTTTTGGGCTAAAACAAAAGAGTGAGTGCAGATGGAGTGATTTGCTCTGCCAGCCAGAGAGTAATAAGCAATATGGCGTCCAACCAGGCAAGGGCATGCACTTAATCCCATCCTATCATATTAGGAATGCTGAACACCAGAGGAGATAGTACCTCAGTAGATACAGGAGTCCTAATTTCACCAACAATGGTCCCCTGACATAGTGTGTAAATGATTTGCTCCTTAATGAGATCAAATATTTCACAAGCACAGTTGGAAGAACCTAGCTGTTTAAGCTGGCAGTTTTAAAAATACAAACAATTAAAATGTTTGGCTAGAAAGGAATTTTAGAAACTTTATTTAGGACCAAAGCCAGCTTTGGTAGTTTGAAACAAACAGAGCCTGTTTCATTATGGGGCTCAGGAAGTAACATAAAATATTTTCCACCAAATTTGCCTCCAGGTAGTTGTGTGGAATTCAGTCAGCAATTTCAGTATAATTTGAAAAGAAATAGCAGGCAGTCCCTTTAGCAATTAAAGACACATCTCAAAAGATAAATAAAATGAAGTTAACTCAACCGAACTCTACAGGTAATCAATCCTGCATGGTGCTGAGAACAGAAAAAGGGAAGTAGTTAAGGAAACAAACCATACTATCCCTTACATAAAGGCACTGAGGTTCAGTAAAGGTGATGAGTAGGAAAATGTGTGGAAGGGATGACAAAACTCTAACAACTGAGCAGCTGACTGCATTAAAAGCAAAAGAAGAAAGTGGAAGCTAGAGGGGGAACAGACAAAGGATATCAACAAGGCTACAAACAGATGACAAAATACTAATGAGACTGATAATCCCTTGTTCAGAAATGAGCCAAAGAACTTATTTTAAGAGCTTAGACGTAATCATTCCACTTCTATGCCTCATGACAGAGAGAAGTTTATTTACCTCAACAGAATATCCTGCTTCAAAATCCTTAAGGGGGCACTCCCATATTCCCCTAGCACCCCAAACATTCACCTCTTAATAGTGTGTATATGTAAGAAAGAGCACTGAGCAGAATAAATCAAAGGATTGAAATCAGAAAACTGGGGTTTAAATGGAATTTCGTAAATTCCCAGTTATGTGACTTTGACCAAATCCCCTCATCACTCTAAGCATTAGTACAGGGAAGCATATTTTAATAGGAGACAAGACCTACTTCATAAGAATGTTTATTGCAGCACTATTTATAATAGGTAAGACCTGGAAGCAACCCAAGTGCCCAAAAATAGATGACAGGGTCAAGAAGATGTGGTACATAAACACAGTGGAATACCATTCAGCAATCAAAAAAGATAAACTCATACCATTTGCATAAACATGGATGGAGCTAGAAGGGATTATGCTCAGTGAAATAAGTTAGAAGGAAAAAGAAAAATATCAGATGGGTTCACTTACAGGAAGAATATAGGGGAACCAAATACAACTATAAATCAGAGATAATCTTCAGGGGAGGGGAGGGAGAGGGATCAAAACGAGGGCGGGAAGAGCACAAGGGTCTATGGTGATGGTGCACAGGTGAATGGGTGGTGGTAATTCTATGGGGACTACACTGATGTAAAATATGTATAAATAAAGAAATTAATTTTAAAAAAGTTCTCAGAATTTATCAACTAAGAACCTCAAAACCCCTAAGAATTGTGAAGAAAAGAGTGTAATACCCTGAGATTATCTCATTAATCCAGATCCAATTTCCAATTCATCATTTCTTTTTATTTGCACATTTATTTATTTGTTAGATTTGACCAACTTTTCTCTTTTATTGATACTACCAGCTATACTAATCACTCGCTTCAGTCTGAGTATGAAATAGAAATGGTGTACTGTTTCTCTTCTCCCTATAAAATAATTTCATAGCTTCCTTTAAACAATCCAGAAAATCCAAAAAAACAGATATGAATAAAGCGATTAAACTCCTAGAACCTCAATGTAGAGACAACATAGATTAAAATAGATAAAAATTTATCAACCATTACTAACATCATCTAATATAATCTTATTTTCAGAGCTCTAGAGCTGTCAAGTTCCTTTAGAGCTGTTCAGAAAGAACCCCAGGACATTTAACTTTCATATTCTTTTTTATGGGGACAATCATAACACCTGTGGAAGGAGAGAAAACAGAGTTGGATATGTGGACAGTGTCTGAGAAGAAAACTCCCTGGTGCTCTGATAGGCACTAAGCAAGTGACAGCAATTTGGGAACTCAACATGGTTCATGACTTCATTGTGACCCATCCAGAGTTATTCCCATCTCAGTTTATTTCTACCCTATTGGCTCTGCCTAAAGGATATTCTCTCATCAGTTATTAAAACAGTGCCACCATACAGTGAAGTGAAGCATCTTTCTTTATTACTCAAGGAGACCAGCTTTACTGTTTCATCAGTGAGGTGACCTGTCTGCCACTTTGGGGTCTGCAGGCAGAGTAAGATGATTGGAGGAACCCACTCAAATATCCTTTACTTGTTGCTTTTTGGCTTGAATTTTTGGGTTAGTGGAATGTGGTCCCTGATAAAAATTCTGAAGAGTACCTCCTAGAACCACCAGCACAACCTTGGTGAAGGCACGTGGGCTAACACCATTGACACCAATTGGGGGACTTCTAGAATGACAGAACTGTGGGCCCAGCCCAGAATTATCCAGTCCAGAGTCTGTAACTTACTAAAATCTCAAATGATATATACACACACTTCAAAGCAGAGTAAACCTATGTTAGAGGCTCAATTTTTAACTTTATTCCATTGAAAATAATGCTACAAAGTTTAACTGAGTCAAAAGAGAGAGCATGAGCTGGGGTATTATGTCCAAGTATCCAGGAGTATAGGACTCAGTTGCTCATTGGTGGAAAGCTGAGAAAAGGAAGGAATCACCTTGATTCCATTCAGGAAGGCACTACACATTTTTATACAGTATTGCAGTTTGGGATAGAAGGCCCTTTTTGGAGTCCTTGGCTTAGAGGCACCACATTACCTGCCTCTATATACCTTTTCTTGTACCTGCTTCTTCCTGTGAAGGTGGAATGGCACTCTCCACAGAATGTACATATGCCTCTTCTTCCTAATCCAAAAACAGCCTTGTTCCTGATAACCAGCTCTCAGATAAATCTCTTTATCCTGGTTCTCTTCATGAAGGTTTGTCTATCCTACCAGTATTTTGCAGAGGTGACTAGGGTAACAGGATTTGTGGAGGAATATTCAGGAGCAGTTATCTTTGTTTTACAGTTGCCATAGGATATTAATCAGAGTTGGGACTGAAAAACAAATGCACTGACATTCAGTTTGGAATTTAAGATAAGAAATTCATTGAAAATGAAAGCAGTATGGAGATTACTCCAAAAAATTAAAAATTGGAATGCTACATGATCCAATTTTCCCACTTCTGGGTATTTACTCAAAAACAGTAATTTGAAGAGATATAAATACCCCATTTTTATTATAGCAGTATTTATAATAGTTAAGAGCCAGAAATAATTTAAATACCCATCAATTATGTTTTGATAATGATGTGGTATAGATACACAGTGGAATACTATTCAGCTGTAAAACAAGATAAAATCTTGCCATTTGCAACAACCTGAATGGACCTAGAGGTCTATTATGCTCAGTGAAATAAATCAGATGGAAAAAAAAAAAAGCCTACATACCTCTCATGTAGCATACAGAGAAGCCAAAAAATGAATGAACTAAATAAAACTTTCAGACAATAAAGCCAAGTTAGTAGTCAGCAGAAGGGAAAGTGGAAGAAGTCTTAGTAAATTGGTAAAAAAAAAAAAAAAAAAGACTAATTATAATAAAGTAAAAATCAAAATCAACAAGCAACTATAAACCAGAGACGTACTACAGGGTGGTGGGGAGGAGGGAGTAGGATCAAAACAAGGGGGTGGGAATGGGGACTATAACCAAGATGAAAATGCATACATTGTGCAAAAATGAAAAATGATGCAAATATATATATAATTAAAATAATAATAAATAAAAATTTTAAAAAGGGATTAATTGCATGGTGAAGGGAAAAAATGGACTTTAAGTGGTAAACTTAATGTAGTATATATGCAGATGTAGGTTTATAATGATGCATAACCTGCAGCTAATATAAAGTTATAATGCAATGTTAATTTAACAGTTTTTAGAAGATGTTTCTTTCTTATGTTCAATAGAACAACTTACATTTGCTACGATTCTTCATCCACTGACTTCCAGTTCAGCTTAATCAACTGGAAGTGACAGAAAGTAATTAGATGGGGCGGAGGAGAAAAAAAAAAAAACACAAACAATTTTTCGCATGTTTCTACTGGAGATGGTTCCGGCATTGGTTATATCTCTTTGTAGCTCAGTTCATGCAAGAGCCTTTCCCATCATGTTCGCACCTCATTCAGGAGACTCATCCACCATGACTCCAGCACTGGCTTATCAAGTGTGACCTCCATGGGGAGCCCAACTCTTTTGAAGTAGCCCTACCCTTGGTTCTGGTTTGCCATGATGCCACCTCCTCCTTTACCCCTCCAACACAAAGCTTGGGAGTAGTAGCCTATTATGGCCACTTAAGGTCTTCCCAAACTTGTTAAATTTTGCCACATATTAAATCTCTTCTACTGAAAGACTTAGAATGTGTTCCATTTGACTGGCTTCCCCCTGACTGACACACTGGCCTTATATTCATTAAGTATCAAGGGTCTCTCTTTGGAATATCTGGCCCAGTGGGAAATGTCATTGAAATTAATCTTCAGATATAGAATAAAAATCATTTTATCACTATTAAGAACTTTAGGCATTATCTGAGTCTGCCATTTCACAAATGTCCCCCAGAGACAGTGAGCGCATGCCCAGCCTCACAGCCATCGAGTGACAGTGCCTGCACTAGCTCTGTCCATGTCCAGCAGGATTTCACTCTTCCTGTTTCTTCTGTGGTACTCTTGCTGCCTTTATGAAACTACGTAAATGTTTGATACCAAACCCTGTATATAGATATATATTCTAGTACTATTGGTTAAATTTGTCCTAGAGAAAATGAGTTGGCAATTTCAAGGTTGTCACTTAACACATAAATTTTGTCAAATTCATGGAAGTTATCAAATATATTAGAAATTAACCATGGGAACATACACTAATTATATGGGAGATATTTTCAAATGGATGAAAATAAAAGACATTTATAGAAGTTAAAGACATTAAAAAGGCAAAAAAAAAATAAGAAAAGCTAGAGCATCAGGACTATGAGGTACACTAATGACAATTCTTTGGGAGTGAGGATGGGGAAGGAACATGACTTCAGAATGGAGTAAACATACCAGGAAAGAATTTAGAAAATTAATATGAGATTGTCAAGGAAATAATTCAGCAATATATATTTTGAGAGAAAGAGACATTGCTAAATAAACAGCATAGGAGTTAAAGGAAAATAAATATCCATGTTCTTGTATAAGGCACAATGCTATAATTGCTGTATTAAATCATCAAACCGCAAGACTCAATTTAGGACTGAGATCAATAGACAATATAAGTGAAAAACAGGATGACGTCCTTTAAATACATTTCTTGCATCGCCAGCAGTTCTGGACAGGAAGTACAGTATTAGAGCTAAAAGCATAGAATCTGGATTCCAAGCACTTGAACTTGAATATAAGCTCTGCCATTGACTTGTTGTGTGCTTTTGCTAGTGTAACCCAGGCTGCAGTGAAAAAAAAGACCCAAAAATATAATATGGTTTGAATATAGGGGAAGTTTATTTTCACTTAAGAAACAGCCCCAGCTGAGATTTCCTGATAGGAGATGGCTCAAGAATGGATTTTTGGGGCCTCCCCTGGTGGCACAGGCTGTTGAGAGCCGTTGTGAAGCTGTCTGCATCTTCTGGAGCACGGGTTCCATCCCGGCCAGCGGGTGAGGGTCCCACATGGCGACGCAGACCTCTCCTGTCTTGCCCACTGCTCCCCTCAGCTGTGCATTTCGTCAGTCTGCCTGTTCTGTTCCCTGCTCTGTCTCTGGTGAATCCTCTCACCCTCCTGCGCATCTGGCCTGTACCCCAATTCTTGTATAAATATTTTTAAAAAAAAGAATGGATTTTTGTGTGCAGTGAACATGTTGTGATCTGGGACTAGTTACTTAATTTCTCTGAGCTTCTGGAATTTTTTTTCCTGTATAATATTGTACTAATAATAGTGCTCCTGTGGTACAAAGTGGGTCACTACACATAACATACTTTTTTAAGTAGTAACAACTCAACAAGGACAAGCTAGTATTAGCAATGTTTCAGCTAGATTATTTGTGAAGTTCTGCCTACTAATGATTGCTCCATCTACTACTGATCAGTTAAAGATGCAGAAATACCTACCATAAAAGTGTCATGTCCTTCAGACAGGCCACCTTGATCATCAGTATGCATCAGAATCACCTGGAGTGTTTATTAAAACCTGTATCACTGGTTGCTACTGGAAGAGCTTCTGATTTGGTGAATCTGAGACAGAGAGAGAGAAACTGCAGACAACTACTACTTGAAAAAGGAAGCTGCCAAAACTTAACTCTACAAAAGTGGGAAAAGATCCGAAAGGTCACAAGGTCAGAGAGAAAGAGACAGACAGACAGACAAAGGATAATGTGTCTACCCTCTCTTACTCTGCTTTGACTATATCTCATCGTGTTTATCTCTGTAATAGTTGGACTTTCCTGCCTTCCACTTTTTCCCTTGCAAGGTCCATGGCAAGCAAAGACAGCTTCCCATGTCCATATCCTTTTCCACTGGAATGCTGAGGTTCTACTAGAGAAAAGAAATCTGTCTCTTGGTAACTTTGTTATGTATTAAACAGTATTTATTTGCTCCCTCTGGTCTGCAAATCACAGGAAAGGCATTTTCAAAAATTTATGAGCACATTACCCATATTGTAAAGAGGTCATTTTAATATGGTATCTCATATTGCTCAGCATATGTTTGGCAAACTCCCCCAACCCTCACTTTGTGTGTGTTCATGGAATGCAAACTAAACTTTGATGTTTGCTATGAAAATCAGCTATAATAAGAATATTGCTGTGGACTTCAAAGGAGGTATTTTTGTACCCTCTACCCCTACAAAAGACACATCTAAATTATTTAATCCTCAGGTGGCAAAATAGTGGCCAGTTTGAACTCAGTGAGCAGATGTGGTTTGCTGCCTGCACATTATTCAAAAGGTTTAGAATTTGAAGATGTTTAACAAAGCATAACTGCTCCAGTTAGATTCTGTTCTCACCACTCCTGTTTGTATTATATTGTGGCTAGCCAGTGTTTCTGGCCCACACATTGGATATATTAAAACCTCTAACTCATGCTTTGATGACTCTTATAACCTAAATTTGTAATTCCCACCAACTTCCTCACCTCCAGCTTCCTATAAGACTCCCTCTGCTTCAACTAAATTTATTAAGTAAATGTAAATATGCTTCAAAAATATCAAACTTACATCTCTAACATAGGCTCAGCTGACCTAACTTCCTCAATATTTATCATTAAAATAAGAATAATGATAAAAATCCTACAAGTATCCTAGTAAGATGTTGAGCCGAACTGATAAAAATGACAGATAAGAGAGAAAGTCCCCACTACCACAGATATCCTAGGATCAGCCACTTTAATATCAAATCTGAATTCAATTTAACAAAGCTATGTCCAGGAAGCTGAGTTTATAGCAGGCACAGGGTGGTGGGAAAGGCAGGCAGGTTTCTCAAATATTTCTAGTACTCAGTTTCTTCATCTGTAAAATAAACACATTTGCAGTGTAATACAATGGTGGAGACAATGAGTAAAGCATTACTGCACAGCATGCCTGATGGGGCTGGTTACTGCCCACAAGGAACTTGTGATAAAATCATTTCCACAGTGGTGAAGAGGTATGAGGATGCAGAGCGTATCTGGGCCTTCTTGGGCTACCACACAAAATGGCACAGACTGGGTGGCTTAAACCACAGAAAGGTATTTTCTCACAGTTCCAGAGCATGGCTAAAGACATAGGGATAAGGCTCAGGACTTTTCCAGTGGGCTTGGGGGTTTGTCATCAGGAAGGAAATCAGAAGGACAAATCTCAGGCCACTAAGGTTGCTCACAAGCACAGGTCCCTAGTCACCTTTGAGATCCTCTGATTCTCAGCACTGGAGAGTGTCATGGAACACTGCTCAGATCTGTCTGGATGGCAGGGACAAATTGTGTAGCAAGCCTTCAGGCAGTGCTCCAGGTAAGTGGCAACTTGTGGGAGGTGGAGGGACTACGAGGTTACCTCTATTTAGCTACATGGAGCATCACGGTTTACCTGTCAGCCAGGCACCATCCTCTGCATGGCGCCCACTCAGTCTGGAGATTCCTAGTCTTTTTCCTACCCCTGATATTGCCTCCTACTGAGAGAAATACCTTGGACTTGAATTAAATGAGTCCCTCTCCTCAACTCTGGTTCATATTCCTATTACGTGATACCCTGTTTGCTGCTTGCCTGCTTTTCTACTTCCACTAACTCTTCAGATCCCTTCTCTGAGACCTCAGACTGACTTTGAGCTGGCCTCCTCCTCCACTCCCTTGCTTGGCAGCTCTACTCCAGTTTCCCTGCTCCTGCCTGCTCTCTGCTGTGCATAGGAGACAACTCTGCTGGAGTTGCTGGTTCAGCTTGCCCCTCCAGCAGCTGCCTCTGACCTCCCTCATCCTACCAGTCTAATCTCCTGCCAGCAGCTGGGATGGCTCTTGGCACTCACTTCCTGGCTCCTTATGCTGCATCCTCCAAATCCTCTCACTCATTCACTTATGCTGATTCTGCAAGAGCATCCACATTCTTTGGAAATCTCTGATAAGGCGGTAGGATTTACGGCTTCCAAGGCTTCCAAGTGGCATACAGATAAGCAACCTGTTTGTATGGACGGTGGGTTTATGTTGGTGAACTGGTGCTAAGATCAGGAAGCATAGCTCTGTCCTTTCGGAACCTGGGGGCCAGGGAAGGCAGGACAGCTGAAAATAAAGATTTGAGTGCCCCAGAATTTTAACTAAGGATGTCTTTTCTCATTTTGTTTTGCATAACTTTGCTTCCTGCCCCCTACTCAGGATAAATAAAACCAACCCTGGTGTTTCACAGCCCTGTTGGCTGAGTGAGGTTAGTCAAGCTCAGAGGGACAAGGACTTCTGAACATTTGCTTTATGGCTATAAATCCAACTCAGTCCTATGATTAAACATGAACATCCAAAAAGATACAACCTCAAAAAGAGGACTAGAATTGAAATGTTTTTTCATCATACTCTATTCTGATTTAAAATTTCATTCTTTATCTAAAAGTAGTTTTGTCTCAGAAGTTTGATGAATCAAAATTACTGTTATGAAATGTTTCTCAGTCCCATTCAATCTATTTGGTTATGAAACTGGGTATCTGTTTTATAATCATTTATCAGTTTAATAGGAAAGGCCTGAAGGGGAAAAAAGAGCACTTGTACTTGTTAGGATTTATTTTATTTATTATAAGAGGTTCTAGGCCCTCGGTCCCAGAAATTGTCTCTTTTGCTCATTTTCCTAAGTCATATTTAATTTACTTCAGAAGCAATACATATTTTGTGTCACATAGTCTATTTAGCAGAGTTGGGTTGTTTTATTATCCAAGACTATTTCTTTCTGTGATATATATTCACTCACTAAATTAGAAGGACACTTCTTATTGTACAGTGTTTTCTATGCAATCTTTCATTCATAATTCATTTCCTAAAAATCAGACAACTTAGATGTTTACTTTTAATAGAATAATTATTATTTTATATCCAAATGATAAATATAAGTACATAGTATTCATGCATGCTATTTGTAAAAAAAAAAAAGAAAATAATGCATAAGTTTTTCCAAGCACATGATCTCACTCAGCTTTTATGACACACCTTGTGGTAGGGATGGCACAGATAAGGGAAACTGAGGCTGTGACTAGTACACAAATGAAGATTACATTGGCAACTGGGTTATCATACAAAATGCTTCCCTGTCTTCTCCCTTTCAGAGTCCTGGACTCTTGTTTCTACATCAACTGTGGAAGCTACAGTAATCATCTCCTTTGGGATATAATCACATGTTCCTGGGAAGTGTGTGTGGATTGAGGATGGGATCTTAGAAGAAGCTGTGACCTTATAGATAGACAAAAGCCTGGGAGATATGCAGAATCCAGTTGCAGGTCACAAAAGAGCTGTGTCCAGAAAGAGAAGAAAAATCTAAAAGTAATCCAGCCTTCAATTATTCATGGAAAGATACTTATGTCCAGCCTCTTTGCAGACTCGGATCATGCAAAAACTATTGGTAAGATGTAGCTGAACCCCAACAGTAACTGATGCAATAAAAAATTTGGGGAAGAGACATCACAAGACCAGAAATGGGAGGTGGGAGTAGAGATGGGTAACATCATCACAGAACTAGCTATAAAAATGCAAAATCCTTAGGCAACAACTTCTACAAATATGAGACTGCTATAGAAAGTATCTGGAGGTGCAGACCAGAGGTGGGGATATGGAGATTGAGGGGGCATTGTAGAGAATTACATCTTTGTGAATCAACCATATAAGTAATTAAACTATAGATAACATCCACAAAGGAATAAGTCCCTCACAAAAAGAAAAACACATTGGCACAAAATTTCTGCACTGCCAAGATGCAGCTCTCCTGCCCATCTGTGTCTGTGCAAGTGCTTCTCTTCAGCAACCTCCTTTCTCCCTTTGCAAAGCAGTGGAGGAAGCTCCCCTCCCAGGCCTGCCTGCCTGTGTCTATGTAGGCCTCTCTTTTTAACAAACCTGTCCTTTTCAGGGACAGCTCTTCTGCCTGCTTGTGCCTGTGCAAGCGTCCTTTATTTTCCTTCCTTTTTAAAAAATAAACCTGCTCTTTTGGCAGGTTTACTGGCAGGCACGAGTCTCTGCCTCGTGAGGAAACTCGCCATGTGCTGCTGAAAGAGGAACTCTGGTGAAATGTTTCTCAGGGGTAACCCAACAACTCCATTGTCTGAATGCATCACCTCTCCAAACCAACATCAGTAGCCAACTACTTTTTAAGGATTTCAAGTAGAACTGCTGTTGGGAAAGCGACGACCAGCAAGACTCCATATAATATCAGTGTTTCCAGAAAAATCGGCCCCAGTTAGCCTCCAAACAGAATAAACCTCAGGTAAATGAGCTGTCCCAGTTTTCCTGGAATGAAATGCCAATTTACCTGGAACAGTAAAGCTATTTCCTTAGTGAGAAAATATATTTTAATCCTGGCATGATTTAGAATTAGATACATAGATCAGATTTATTTTGCACTTTGCAAGGCCACAGGGTGAAAGAATTTGCACAAACTTTAAAAGTTTTAAAGAAATTTAATAGACTAAACCTAAAATGAGCCTGATT